AAACCTCAATTACTTTTGTATCAGCCAAATAATAAAATCTTATGTATCTCTCGCTCTTATAAATTCTGACATGACTCAGTAACGCCGGGTATTAAGGCATTATGCCAAAGCATATTTTTACCAGGTAAGAAAAGCCCTTCATGGCCAGGCACAGTGGCTCACGCATGTAATCTTAGCACTCTAAGAGGCAGAGGTGGGAGAATTTCCTGAGTGCAGGAGTTCAAGGCCAGCCTGAGCAAGAGCGAGACCCTGTCTCTACAAAAAATAGAAAAATTAGCTGGGTGTAGTGGTGCATGCCTGTAGTCCCAGCTACTCAGGAGGCTGAGAGAGGATCGCTTGAGCCCAGAAGTTTGAGGTTGCAGTGAGCTGTGATGATGCCACTGCACTATAGCCAGGGCGATAGAGTGAGACTCTAGCTCAAAAAAAAAAAAAAAAAAAAAAAAAAAAAAAAAAAAGGAAAAGCCCTTCATGACCCACTAACTGATGATAACCAGACCTTTCGTGATCTAGAACCTGGAGATTGGGTCTTTTAGAAATAACACTATGGAAAGGCTGCCCTTGAACTCTGTCGAAAGGGACCATACCAAATTTTTCTTTGTGGCAGAACTTCAGGGCCTTGAGTCTTGTATCCATCTCTCTCAATCTTTCAACCCAGAAGGGCCTCTGCAGACTCCCAGGACTGTACATCTATTATAGATCTTAAGGTAAAGCTGACCAGGGATGGTTTCCCCAGAAGCAGGTGGTACCCTAGGCACGGACTGCTTTGTCAAGATCACAGATCAAAACTGCTCTGCCGTTATGAAAGCCTTATTTTTTCCTGTTCCCTCCTATTTCCTGCTGGCCTAATCCCTCCCCTTTCCTTACAGAAAAATCTGAGACCATAATATGCGGTTGGCTTCTGCAAAAGCTTATGCTCTATAAAGAAATCAGCACAATTGTTGGGTTTGTGGGCTAAGAGGACAATTCCACTTATTCCAATGCTTCTCTAGGTTCCCAATGAGAGTCACCCTGAAACCCCAAAGGGAGAGTGGAAAGCTATCCTTCAAATTCTAGACATCACTGCTACTTGTTTTTCTATGCTTACTATAAATAGTATCTCAAACTTCCCAATTAATAACCCAATTGCTTCCAAATAAAGAAAACCTATTTAAGTGATGCCTGTAAAAGGTATATTGTGCTTCCAGGCATCACAGACTCAAGGCCAATGTGAGTGTGAGTAATTGCTTATATATTGTCACCGGATTAAATCCAGAAGTTCCCTTTCCATAAATGTGGTTATGCGCCCTTACAGCATACTATAAACGGACCACAAAATAGTTAAGTTTCTCATTGTATCATGTTGAGGAGCTACGCAGACTCATGGGCAAATTTAACTGACTTTGGCTCAACTGCCACTAGGTGGCCCTCTTTTCTAGCCTCTGAGAACCTATAATTGGGTCTGTGAAGGATTTTTTTTTACCCCCTTTGCCTCTGTGTGGGTTCTGATTTTGCTATTTGGCCTGGCTCATGCCTGCCTTCCTAAGAGCTTTCCTTGAAAGTTGCCATAATACTTTCCACAATCAGAGGCCAAAGCAGTCAATAACCAAGAGTGGTACCAATCTTGAAAGAGATGAAGATAAGCTAGTTTCCACCGCGGAAAGGTTAGGCTCCCCGGGCTCACTCTTGGCAGTAGTGGGGGCCCAGTTGTATGGGATTTGAAGCTAATCTGAAAATTGGGGACAATATTGGATTTTTTTTAGCCAATCAGACCTCCCCAAATTTCAGACGGGTAGAAGCGACTCTCCAAAAGGTGGATGAAAACAGTCGTGTTGACCAAAAACATTTAATGGAGCATCATGTCGCTTCAGATCTCCTCTTTGCCTGTGTTGGGCTTGTGTACGGCGCTGAGCAACACCGAATGCTGTACTTATCTCTCTGCAGATTTTACTACCCTAGAAAGTTTAATTAAAAAGGTGGCCAACACTGGGCTCTGCCACCGAATACATCAAGGACGTTTCTCAGGGGAAAGGAGCACACGATGTGTTTATAGGCGCAGGAAACAGTTGGTTTGCAGGCATCCTGAATAGGGGATGTCAACAATGCCTATGCCGAGGTTTTTCAACCTTTGTATTTCTTTATTTTTTTTAGGGGGTCTTCAGATTAATATGACTTGTGTCACCAAGCTAACTACAAAAATAGATACCTCTCTACATCAGGCCATTTTACAGATAACTATGGTCCTCAATTGCCACGAAGCCCCAAACATAGACTATGACACAATGGACTTGAATACTGTTGAGGTTGCAGTGAGCTACAGTTATTTCTTGAACTTGAAATTGATTGGCTTTGATCAGTTTGGTATGTGGAGACTCCTGTTAAGGAGCGTGCTTCAGTTTCTTGGTATTATAGTCCTGATAGTCATCACAGTAGCTTCCCTGATGTGTCGTATGACCTTAAGAGTCTTAGATGCTCATATGCAGTCATCCTTCATACATTAATTTGTCTCATTCTTGTCAGCATAACAAAAACACGAAGGAAGCGTAAGGAATCATTCAATTGATTTGACATCGTGAATTGCGAACTTCGTGCCGCATTGTAGCACGGTGGAAGTGGAAAGGAAAGTGGGCTTGTGCAAAAGGGAGGGGACAGAGTGGTCCCACCTGCTTCATAACAATCTGCTTTGTGAGAACTCAGGTCCACAAAAACTGCATTAATCCCTTCATGAGGATGGATCTCCCCCGACCCAAACACGCTCCTACGCCACATCTCCTAACGCTGGGCATTGAGGGGTCAGGGATTAACACATGGACTTTTGGGGGACACGTTCAGACTATGGTATGTTATCTCCTCATTTTCCTCAATAAAACCCTTGCATGCTTAGTCTCATTTTCACGTCTCATCTGGATTAAGTAGAGTCTAGTTTTAGGAGCCTTTATCTTAGCTTCATTGATCCATAGACTGGTCACAGGGCACAGTGAACAAGAAAGTGAGTTCTGTTTAGTGTCAACACATTCTCCCTCCTGGGAAACAGCCAGCAGTTGTTGGTCAGCAACAGTATCTTCCAGGATGAAAGACTGATTGTAAGGAAGAGTCTTCTTTTTTTATATTTATTATGATGTGGATTCTGGATTCTTATTGGGTTATGATTTTAAAATCTTTCTTTCTTTTTTTTTCTTTCTTTGAGACAGAGTCTCACTCTGTTGCACGGGCTGGAGTGCAGTGGCATCTGCCTAGCTCACAGCAACCTCAAACTCCTGGGCTCAAGCGATCCTCCTGCCTACGCCTCCCGAGTAGGTGGGACTACAGGCATGCGCCACCATGCCTGGTTAATTTTTTCTATATATTTTTAGATATCCAGTTAATTTCTTTCTATTTTTTTAGTAGAAATGGGGTCTCACTCTTGCTCAAGCTGGTCTTGAACTCCTGACCTCTAGCGATCCTCCTGCCTCGGCTTCCCAGAGAGCTAGGATTACAGGAGTGAGTGCCTGGCCTTAAAATGTTTATTATTGAAATTTTTGTTTGAAATTTTATTACATATCATGGTCCCCATATTTTATTTTAAAAATATCTTTATTCTCCTGTAAAGAACAAACGTGACATTTGGTTTCTGATAGGAGAAAACAAGGAACTATAATATAGAGAATAGTTAAAATGAATGGTTAGTGAAAGGGACCATCACAAGGAGGTGTGGGCTCAGTCCATTCTGTGCTGTTGTAACAGAACTCAGGGCCGCAACCCTGAGTCTGCATAATTTATAACGAACAGAAATTTATTTGGCCCATGCTTGTGGAGGCTGGGAAGTTCAAGATCAGGGGCTGGCATCTGGGAGGGTCTACTTGGTGCGTCATCCCACGGCAAAGGCAAAGGTGGAAGGGAAAAGAGCATGCAGGAGCAAGAGGAAACCGAACTTGTTTTGCAATAAACCCACTCCTGAGATAATGGAATTAATCCTTCCATTAATCACCCTTCATTAAGCCCTACCTTTCAACACTGTTGCAAGATTCCAACCCATTGTTGCAACAGTGTGTACAGCTAGTGTTACAGCCCTTGTTACAGCTCTTATTCATTTGACCCAGGGGAAAGAACTCAGCTAGCGGCACACGAAGACTCGGAGAACAGCCTTTATTCTTCTACCCCAGGCTCAGCACACCTGGTGTTACAGCTCTCTTTATGTCTCCCGATGTTCTCCCCTTCCTGCCCTTCCGCCCCTGCTTTTATACCCTTGGTAGGGCTCAAGAAGCATCCAATCAACTACAAGCTTTAACATCCAATCAGCAACAAGCTTTAACATCCAATCAGCAACAGGCTTTAACATCCAATCAACAATAAGCTTTAACATCCAATCGAAAACAGTGGGATTCAAAAATTACCCAATCAGGATCATGCAAGCGGCGTGGCCAGAAACAGGCCGCAGCATGAGGGCCTGGGGCATTCCAGCATGCGGGGTCCCGGCAGCACGCGGGTGTCCTGGCACTCGGGTGTCCGGGGTGGCCGGGTGCTGCGGGGCCTGGCCCTAGCAGCGCCTCTAACTGGCCATGCACAGCATTAGCCCCTGGAGATGCAGAACTAGGCCGCAACCCTGCGCCCGACATTTTCCGCATCACCATGAAATTTGGGGGGACACATTCAAACCATAATAGGTAGTAACCAGTTAACATGCTTTACAGGAGAAAATCAAACATTGTAAACTATAGCATGAAGCACCAAGGCTGAACATAAGGAATAATTTGGTCCTGAGAGATGGGAAATATCATGGACTTATCTCTGAAAGCAGATTTTTCTTTGAGAGACCTCAAACTAATGGTTCCTAAATTTAATGTGCACAAGAATCTTCTAAGGAGCTGATCAAAACTGCAGATTTCAGCAGAGATTCCTATTCAACAGGTCTGAATTATTATTATATTGATATTCAGAAATCTACATTTCCATAAGCTCCCTGAGTTATTCTGATGTAGGTGGTCTGTGGCTAATATTTTGGTCATTACATTACCACTAATAATGCTACTCTAGATGGTTTGCCTGGGATAGCTTCATGTTTCCGTTGTATAGAGGCAGGATGGACTGAATGCCCTCCTTAGCCCTTGAGTCAGCCTCAGAGACAAGGTTCTCTAGAAATGAACTACTTATGTTTTTCAAAATATACCAGAATATTTGAAAGGATTTCAAGAGTTTTCTAAAATTTTTCAGAATATAAATTTAATAACAATTTTGTGCAAATAGAGCTATTTTTCCCCACAGATTTAACATTAACCTGACAAATGTTTTCAATCTCTTCCACTGTCTAAGTAGGATCATAACCATGGCTACTTCAATGGGTAGTGGTGATGATGAAATGAGGCAAGTTATACAAAACAATTAGGACAATGCCTTGCATATTATAAAGTAGGAATTGTCAAACTTTTTCTATAGAGAGGCAGATAGTAAATATTTTGGGTTTTATGGGCCATGGTTTCTGTTGTGACTACTCAGTTCTACCATTGTAGCTTGAAAGCAGCCTCAGACAATAAACAAAAGGGTGTGGCTGTGTTCCAATAAAACTTAATTTACAAAAACAGCTGTTTGACCCACTTTATAGTAAGTTTGCTGACACTTACTATAAAGGTTTGATAAATTTCATTATTATTAGTAATATAATGGCTTACAAATAATCTTTAATAATTAGCAAAACAATCAGTTTTTAATCAATAACTAAGTATATATATCATTTGCAATTTTTTAAAAGGAAACTTGCTTACAAGAGCAATGTAGAAAAAAAATCTTTCATGTAAATGCTGGTGTAATATTATTGAACTTTAAAGAACAAGTTTCCACTACAGGTATTGCCATTCCATTGTTCTAGGCCCTTGAGGGAGAAATGTAGGCCAAAATTAAGAACAGTGTCCACAAAGCCTTGGGAGAAATAAGAGGAGAAATTTGCCAAAATCGTTAACATCTCTGACCTTCGTCTTCGCTTTGAAGGCCTTGGTCTGAGCTCATGACATAGCTTATCACCCAAAACATGGAAAGAGCAGCTGTAATGGATGTTCCACAGACAGATGTTTATCTAATGTTGCTCAATGTCTGTTGACATTGAACAGCTTGCATTTGTTTCAGACTTCAGTTCTAAGAAAATATTTGTCTCTCCTAACAGACTTATATACTTCATTTTATCAGATGACAATGATTACGTATTTTTAGCTTTTTGCCTTGGTTATCCGTAAGATTGGAACTAGACGCAAGACTCAATAATTATAATGCTTTTCATGTACTTGCAAGATATCATTTTCTTCCTAGATTCTTGTTTCCCCAAATGTCAATGATCATCTTAACCGTTATTGCATAGGTATCTTTCATAGTAATAGTCTTTAAATGCTTTTTAAAGACTGAAATATCAAGCTGAAATATAAACCAAAAATTATAAATAAGAGTAATTGGATCATATTTGCAAGGAGAATGCTATTTTATATGTAAAGATCCTCTAAAAGTAACACATATATGATTATAAACAAAATAAACTATTAATAAGTATTTTATTAATAATGGAGGTTTTTGTAAATATACTTAATTATGGGGCAAGGTTGTGATCTTTAGTTCTAGAGTCCAATAAACCTGGGTTCCAATTCTAGCTGCATCACAAGACCAGCTGTGTGGTCTTGGACATGTTACTCAATTACTCTGAATCTCAGTTTCATCATTTATAAAATGGGTATAATAGCTGTACCCATCTCACAGAATTATTGTGAGAATTAAATGAAATAATATATATGATGTGCACATAGCACAATGTCTAGCCTATGATAAGCATTAAATATATACTATTTATCAGCTAGCTATTATTTATTTTATTTTTCTAGCAGTGTTTCTGCCAAAATATAGGAAATGTGACTATTTGCTTAGCTTTTAGTATGGGGCCCTAAAAGTCTGAGCAACGCTGTTGTTTTCTAAGTCTATCTTTTCATTTTTTTCTCCAGTAGTTTCAAATGATCTCCCACCAAGCAAATGGAGCCTGACCTAACATCTGAGAACTTTGTGATTAAATGTAGTTTGGATGGGAAGATCATTAAGAAGTTTGCACAGGAGTTTTAAATGCCCACAATTTAAACTGTTCAATAATTTAAACAATGGGGCCTGCTTTTCATTCTGCGTAATTCTACTATTTTCCTACACAACTCCCCTGTCAGGGCCGGCAGCACCACCCACCTGGGCCAATGGTATTTTATCACACTTTTTGGAAAATCTGTTGAACTGAGGTAAGAGTGGAAGGGCAAAGAAACTTCCTAACCCCATTTTGGTTTTCAACACAGACCTAATTCTGCTAATCTCCACAATTGGCCCTCCTATTTGCTTTTCCTAACTCTAAAAATCTGTATTTAGAATGTAGATTTAATATTTTTTCTTTTGGTCTTTCTTTTTCTTTTAAGAAGTACTGACTGACAAGGCAATAAAGCCAAAAGCATTCTGCCGACAGATTAGAATCATCGAAGTTGGAAAAAAAAGGCCACGACAACAGCAAGGATCCCCAGGATTTTCAACAGGAAAGAAACTGGGAAATGAGGTGAAACCTTCAGAGTGCGAGTCTTCAAAGGCTTCAGAATCCTTTGCTTCTGGGTGAGGATGGCACCCCTGGCTCCTTCCCATCTTCCGGGCCCAACCAGGCGATACTGATAGGAGTTGCAAGGTCCGAAATAGAGTTTCACAGCCAGTTTAAGGTCTGTTAACAAGATAGCGCCAAGGGCTGGCTTCGCACCTATCTCTAAGGCGAGCTCATCCAAATAGTCGACATAATTGGTCTGCAATATCTGGCTCTGGCTTTCTCCAAACCTTAATGAAGAAAGTAAAAAGCAAAGATTCAGAAAATGGGTTATGTTATGTAAGAATGTTTGGCATTCAATATCTGTTGAAAAAGTGAAGGAATGGATTTTGAATGACTCTCTGGTAGTAAGTGTGAGTTTATCCCATCAAGAGACCCATATCTCTGATTGAGAATAGATCATAAAATAGCCATGAAATTCATGGAAGCTCTAGCACTATGACAAGGTTGATAATCATGATTATTATTTTATAGTTATTAAGCAGCTGCAAGTACATATGCCAGGCATATATGTACTAGTCCTGATTGCTGCAAAAATTCATGAGATAACACACATGAAAGCATTAGCTGGGTGTCTTGCCCAGAGGTGATGCTTAACATTTGCTTTTAAATTTCTAAAGTACCTGGCAGTGTGGGCAGCATATAGTAGATGGTCAATAAGTATTAGATAAATTAGAATTTGGACATGAGATAACTCCTTACAACTTATATAAGGCCCCCAAGTCAACTTTCCAAGGGTGCTTGATCACTGTTGAACCTCATCACAAAGTACAAATCCTTGAACCTTCACACCCACCTCTGCCTAATTTATTTTGACTTTCCAAAGATATTTGAGCTACTGTCGCCACCACTGCTCTCATCCCGTTTCCCTCTCTAACCACCGAGGGGGGGTGGCCTGAGAAGATACGGAATCTGATGTGGGCATCGCATAAAACTGAAATGAAATTAAATGAAGAAAAAAGATGTTCTGATTTGGTACAATTCCTGTCTTTAAATAGTTGGTTCTTATAGTATGTATAAGAATCACCAAAGAAGAAAGTAAAAATGCAAACTTTCAGTCTCAGCCGCAGAGCTTCTGATTCAGTTAGTCTGGGCTGCAGCCCAGGACTTTGCGTTTTTATCAGGCATCTTCCTGGTTCTTGCAAGTACTTGGATCCCTGTACTTCAAGAAACACTGCTGTATGTAAAGAATTTTTTTAAAAAAACATTCTTACAGGTCAATTCTTTTTTCATTCCTCTTGATAACGTCCGCCATCATTGTCCTCTCTGAGGGCAAGCTACACAAGCCTGAGAAATAAAAGGTTAGTGTAAGTAGTAAGTTTGATGTAACATCATTGCTTTATCTGCTAGTTGATTCTAACATTGAACTTTAGCCATTTCACTGTGTTGGACCAGCCAGGGCTGCTGTGTTCTTGAGCTCCAGTGGGTGGCGCTCCCATCGCGTTCTATGTGACACTGCCGGGGAGCAGAGTCCACAGCAGGACTACAGGGCTAAGAGGGGATCCTGGAAGCCACGCTCAGGGGTTTGGGCTCTATCCTGAAGGTGATAGGAAGCTGTGAGAGAGTGTCCCTCAGAAGGTGACAAGCTCAGACTTGCCTTTTGGAAAGCTCTGTCAGGCTGTTGAATTTTAAAAAATGAACTCCAGGAAGGCAAGCCTAAAGTTAGGGAGACCAGTTGGGAGGCTGTTGATGTAAACCTGGTGAGGGATGAGAAGAGCCCAATCTACGGTAGGGCAGTGGGAATAGAGAAAGTAGGCTGATGCAAGAGTTAGTATTGTACGTTCACGATTCCATCCCCCATCCACAAGTGTTCCCTGAGCTTCGGATGTGTTGAGAAACATCCAGCCCCTTGCATATGGCTAGTCATCAGACAGCTCCAAGTCAAGTAGTCTACACTGAGCTCCTCACTGAAGCCCTTCCGTCTACACTCATGTCTTCTGTCTACCACTCATCTTTATTCACAGCACAATTGTCCACCTGGTTTTCAATGCCAGAGACTTCCATTGATTCCTCTCTTTCTCTCATTTTCCCACATTGAGCAAATCATGATGTTCCACTGATTTTATCCTTAACTACTTCTCATATGTATGTCCTCTTTTCCACCTTGTCTCTCTGCCTTGGCCCAGGTTGCATGATATTTAAGCTTAGACTATTGCAGAAGCCTTCTCTCTGGTCTGAGCATCCATTCTTTCCCCCCTTTCAAATCTATATTCTGCACTACTGCTGAAATAATCTACCCAAAGTTTAAATCTGATGATTCCTGTTTCTTGTTTATAACCCTTTATTGGTGCCTTTGGCTGAAGAGCTTTCGAAAATGCAGATTTTGGGTCCTCAGGCCAGACTTAATCAAGGTCCCTAAAGGTCCACCAGATGATTTTTGTATGTGGCCAGATGTAGTAAAACTCGATCCACATTTTATGATACAAATTCCTTAGCATGTCTTACAAGGTCCCTGTGTCCTCTGCCCTTCTTCTCTCTCATCCCTCTCCACCTCATACATTGTGCTGGAGGAATGTCAATAGCTTGTAACTCTCCAAACACAGCGTGCCTCTGTGCTTACTCAGGTTATCCCTTTTTCTGCACCTGAGACACCCAGTCATCCAGGAGGTTTTCCTTGACCATGTGCCCTCCTCATCCCACCCTGCTACATGCCTTTTCTCTTCTTCCCAGAACACTCAAGGCATTATGCTATCAGAGCATTTGCCATACTTTGTTTAAATGATCTGTTTAAATTTTTCTCTGTCCCTCCAAGTCCCAGCACAGGACTGGGTATTCAGTGAGTTTGTGTTGAACAGAGTTGAGCCCTGGAGCAGGGAGATAACAACCTTCTGAAGGGCAGGAAGTGGGACACAGATGCTCAGGGAGAAACTTCTCAATAATCGTATAATTTATAAGGATTTGTGAGGTTGAGCTGTTCAGGTATTAAGAGTTAATTTGGATTTAAGTACGGATGAGGCCCTGGATCTCTTGATTTGCCCATATTATGAGGAATTTACAAATACCAAATAGGTAAAACCAGAAGCCATAGATGTTTTCCTTATTTAACTTACCTGCCATGAGTCAAAGAAAGGTTAACAGGTACTTAGCATTATGCTAGTTGAAATTCTCTGAACTGTCTAATTTTTTTTGGAGACAGAGTCTTGCTCTGTTGTCCTGGGCTAGAGTGTAGTGGCATCATTGTAGCTTGCTGCGACCTCAAAGTCCTGAGCTCAAGTGATCCTCCTGCCTCAGCCTCCCAAGTAGCTGGGACTACAAGTGCAAGCCACCACACCTGGCTAATTTTTTCTATTTTTGGTAGAGACGGGGTCTTGCTTTTGTTCAGGCTGGTCTCGAACTCCTGAGCTCAAGCAATTATGCTGCCTCAGCCTTCCAGAGTGCTAGTATTACAGGCATAAGCCACTGTGCCTGGCCTGAACTGTCTAATATTTTAAAGGGATGATTGCAGGAATTTATTATTATTATAAATTTCTGTATTTGTTATTCTTTGAATTCCCCACTAAATTTTTAGAATGTTAATCTTCTGACAGCAGTCAAAATTGTCGAATTTCTCAGCAGCCTTCTTATTTAAGGCAACCTTCTTATTAATACTGAGCAAACGTCACCAGATCTGAAACCCTTAGTTATGCACCTGCCCATTTACTTACCTTTGAAAACTCTTGTTACCCAACGAGCTTGAAGTTCGACAGTTGGGAAAATGGAACCCAGGGGCTGGATGAGACCAATGCATGCAAGGGTTGACTTCTCCAGGTGAGGCGGGAAGATGTATTTATACAGCGAGACCATATTATTCTCTACTTTGACAAGTGATTCTTCAAGGAAGGGAAAAGAGAAAGTATATCCCGTTGCAAAGACAATGACATCAATGTCTTTCTCCACTGTTTCATCCTCAAAGACCGCGGAAGTTTCTGTGAACTCTTTCACTCTCGGCTTCACCTTGATGGCTCCATAGAGTAGACGACTTGGAAGATCATCATTTAATATAGGTTCTTTCATAAGGTATCTGAAACACACAGAAAAAAAAAAAAGCACTCAGAAGGATCATTTACTTGAATCCTCTTAATGTTTTTGGGGGGTGGCTCTGAAAATAAAAGGCTTTATCAAATATCCATAAAACTCTAAATTGATTAGTTGGCCTGCCACAGCTCTTACTTTATAACTTAATTCTCATATCACAAATATCTCCCCTCAATAAATAAGGGAAAACATGTAGGTGATGTGTGTAAGAGACATTTCAGAGAAGCAAGTATCCCCAAGGGCTTAGACAAAATGCCTGTGCTTGGGGTTAATCCCTTGAGTATTCTGGTGATTATTACACCATTTCTGTTCTACCATGTTTTATGTTACCTGGCTTCAATTATTTTTGCTGTTTTATTTAACCTGTATCTGATCATAAGCAAGAAAGAAAATATTTGTTAAATTTCCACCAGTTTTAAAACCTATTAAGGAATCAATGTGAAAATTAATGCATAAAATTAGGTTTGGTGATATTTCTAAATCCCAAATGTCTGTGGAGTCTCTGTTTGTGATATCATGGATTTGGTACAAAGTCTGCTCATGTTTCTAGAGTTTTTTTTTTGTAGATTTGAGAATATTTTCTTTTTATTTTTTTTCTTTAAAATAAGACAATAGATGGATGACACATGTATCAGCCCTCAGAATATAGCAGTCACATGGCATTTGTTAAAAGAAACAATATCAGTGCTGTATAACTTCAAGACCAACAGAGTTTTGTCTTTTGACAAAAAGAAAGGAATACGTTCTTAAAGGCTGCCCATATGACCCTCCAAGGTACAGAGTTAGAAGAACAATAGTTATTAGGTGGAGAATTAGATGTTTCCCCTTCCATCCCTCTGAAAGTTAGCTCATAGTCCCTTGAAGCAGTTTTCTCCAATGATGGGCAACTCTGGGCTTAGAAAGTTCTTTCTTACTTCTGCTTTCTGGAGTAGCTTATAACACTTCTGCTTCATCTGTGTAAGTATTTTTTTAAAAGGCATACTAAAAAAGTTTGGAATCCAAGATCCAGTATGAAACTCATAGTGTTAGGTTATAGTTTGAACTGCCATGTTAGCAATTTGGACCTTTGTGAAAGACAGCCACCTTCAGACAACCTTGCTGATCAATGAGTTATACCATAAAAAAGCAAAATAACTCTACTTGTTCTGAGGCTCAAGACCATAATTTTCATGGTTGAGCCACTTATTCATCTGTTGTTCCATCATCCATTTTAGAACTGTTCGTGGCAGGACGTTTCGGAGCTGAGAGTTAAATCGGGTGTGGAACACCATGTCCCAGGGATAGCCATCTTCAGAGATGCGGCTCATAACCCAGGAGCCATGCCGGGTGCTGATAAAAACCTGGCAAGCAAAAAGGAATGCAGTTTAAATTAGGGCATTGTCCCCCTTGTGGGCGATGTGTCACACGTGTGGCCCCACAATTTACTGAGGTTCTATTTCAAAGATGATCGATCTCAAAGTGAAGTACCTCCTATAAAGGCTGTGCCCAGTGACATTTACACCGTTTCTTTTATAGTGCAGGGGAAAGATTACAACCCTTGGAGATGTACGATTACAGCCTAATGGCTGTGTGAGCATAAATGCATGCTTCTCTGTGATCCTGGAGGGAGAATGATAAGGGGCATCACCTTCCTCTCATACTTAAAAGAACTTTGTTATATATTTTAAAAGTTGCCAACTCTGACTTTATACTGTGATTCCCTTTCTCTCTCTCTCTCTTTTTTAAAAATTATTATTATTTTTTTATTTTAGCATATTATGGGGGCACAAGTGCCCTTTCTCTTAAAGTGCACATCTATGTCCTTTTTCAGATGCATTCTTTACCTTGTTTACTAAGATTGCCCTGTCTTCAATATATATATTTTGATCTCTTTTCAAAAATATCTTTTACCTTGGGTACCGTTATTCTCCCATTATCCAAATGCGTATTTGAACTATTTTTCAATTTTTTACATATCATTCTATTAATATGAGTTTTGTTTTCTAAGGCTATCCTTGACATACTTACATAAGATTCACCTGCAAGGAAACCAATTCACACAAGAGGTTAAGATCATTTGCTTTGGACCCAGACTGCCTGGGTTTGAATCCCAGTCCCACCACTTACCAGATGTGTTGCCTTGGGCGAGTTATTTCAATCTCTCTGTGCCTCAGTTTGTCACTCTGCAAAATGAGGGTAATAACAGTACCTACCTCACGGCATTATTGTGTAGATTAAATGAGGTGATAACCCCATTAAAAAGTGGGCAAATAACCCCATTAAAAAGTGGGCAAAAGACTTGAACAGAAATTTTTCTAAAGAAGACAGAAGAATGGCCAACAAACATATGAAAAAATGCTCAACATCTCTAATCATCAGGGAAATGCAAATCAAAACCACAATGAGATATCACTTAACCCCAGTGAGAATGGCCTTTATCAAAAAATCTCCAAACAATAAATGCTGGTGTGGTTGCGGAGAGAGAGGAACACTCCTACACTGCTGGTGGGACTGCAAACTAGTTCAACCTCTGTGGAAAGCAATATGGAGATACCTTAAAGCGATACAACTGAATCTACCATTTGATCCAGCAATCCCATTGCTGGGCATCTACCCAAATGATCCAGTGACACTCTACAAAAAAGACACCTGCACTCGAATGTTTATAGCAGCACAATTCATAATTGCAAGGCTGTGGAAACAGCCCAAGTGCCCATCAATCCAAGAATGGATTAATAAAATGTGGTATATGTATACCATGGAGTACTATTCAGCTCTAAGAAACAATGGTGATATAGCACATCTTATATTTTCCTGGTTAGAGCTGGAACCCATACTACTAAGTGAAGTATCCCAAGAATGGAAAAACAAGCACCAGATATATTCTCCAGAAAACTGGTATTAACTGAGTAGCACCTAAGTGGACACATAGGTACTACAGTAATAGGGTATTGGGC